TGGGGTGTAGAGGTTTGCCAGAGAGATCGCCAGACGTCTCTATCAGCAGTTTTCTTTCTGGCTTTGTTCCATTCCAGTCCTCTGTCAGTCAGGGACTGTCGGATGTTGTCTTCCCAGCGCACCCTGGGTCGTCCCGGAGGTCTGGTTCCCTGGTTCTTAGCCTCCCATGCTTGCCATGGTGGCCGATTTTCTCCCATTCTGCACACATGTCCAAACCATCGTAACTGCGACTGATCCACTCGGGTTAGTAAGGGCTGGGTATCAAGATCTTGACGTATTGTCTGATTGCGGACTTTGTCCCTTCTTGTCACTTGGACCACCTTTCTCAGGTATCTCATTTCCGAGGCCTGCAGCTGGCTTCTGTGAGCTGTTGTCATTGCCCATGACTCACACCCATAGGTCAGGACTGGTACATAGGTAGAGCGGTAAACAGCCATTTTCGTTCTCTTGCCAATTTCTCTTTTGCTAAGAAACCCTCGGTTTATGGCCTGGAAGAGTCTCCCAGCAGCTGCTTTTCGTGTAGCCAGCTCAGTCTTAATGCCTCCATTTTGGTCTAATACAACTCCAAGGTATTTGAACTGGTTAACCCTGCTCCAACGCATACTGACCCATCATGATCTGGTGTTTCTTCTCCTCTCTTGAGATCACCATGGTTTTAGTTTTGGAGACACTGATGGTCATCCCTTTCTTTTCAAGCTCTTCCTTCCAGACAAGTAAGTTGGACTGAAGGTGTGCCTCTGATTTAGCTATCAGGGCCACATCGTCTGCAAAAGCCAGCTCTGATATACAGATTGGTCTCATCTTCCAGTACCCTACAGAGTACTTCTTTGTCTTCTCCTTACAGGTCTTGATGACATCATCCATCATAAGAATGAAGAGGTAAGGTGAGAGAATATCACCTTGTCTAACACCGCTGGTGGTCTTAAATTCTTCTGACTTTTGGTCTGCTGTTCTTACATAATTTCTGCACTTTTTGTAGAAACTCTGTATTGCACTGATCAGGGGTGCTGGGATAACTATAGCTTTTGATTTTTATATTGTCTAGTATGTTCTTCTATCTTTCTACTTCTTTCTATGAGTGACGATCAATTCACTTTATGTTACTTGATTAGTTCATGAAGCTGCTAGAATTGCAGCAAGCAATTTAGAAAAGACAAGCCAGGAAAGACAGTAGCAAATCACCAGAGAGATACGGCTTCTTTTCCCTGTCCACACTGCTCAAGAATTTTTAGCGCTAAAATTGGCCTTATCAGCCATCTGCGCACTCAAAAAACCTAATACACTCACCAATGGATGAAAAGACTGGTTATCATCACTTGAGATGGACAAACAAACAACAAACAAGGAGCAGGAATCCACTTCCAGTCTATCATCATCATCAGTTTTCATTATGCCTAGTGGCACATAAGGCTTCAGAAAGGACTTTTCATGCTTTCCTGTCCTGTGCAATCTTCAGTGCAGTTTTCCGTGTCAAAGATGCCGCACTTAGGTCACTTTCCATCGTTCATCTCCATGTTGTTTTTGGGCGCCAGTTTTCTCTTTCCCTCTGGTGTCCATGTGAGAGCTGTTTTGGCAGGTATATCAGGATTCATTTCCATCTTCTCTTGGTTATCATACTGTCTAAAGTTTCTTGGTTTGTGACTTGAAGTAGTTTAGTGTTTGAGATTGTATCTAGCCAGAAAATGTTGATAGTTCTACGTAGACATGTGTGGTGCAAGGTGGAGCTTGTGTACATCCTTTTTGGTCATTCTCCAGCATTCCGCTCCATAAAGAAGAACTGGCAAAATGATGCTCTTGATGCTTCCAGTCCATCTACTTAAATTGTTATTCCTGAGTGCTGCTGGATTCTGTCTTCGGTAATTATTATCTTGTGACACTTCCCTCCAAAAACCCTTTGTTTTTATTATAGTAATACCTGTTTTGTGTTTTGCACAGAAGGTCAGTACTATGTCATACAAGCTAAACATCTATGGAGAAAACGACCCACAGAACAGAGTTATTCAACCAAGTTTATCCAGGGGCTAACATTTTGAAAATGGGGATCATCGCGGGCCAGAGGTCCAAGCGCCAACATAGAAAGATCTTTATTACAATGGTAATAATCTGGGGTCAGGGGTCCAAGCGCCAACATAGAAAGATCTTTAATTCAATGGTGATAATCTGGGGCCAGAGGTCCAAGCACCAACATAGAAAGATCTTTAATACAATGGTAATAATCTGGGGTCAGAGGTCCAAGCACCAACATAGAAAGATCTTTAATACAATGGTAATAATCTGGGGTCAGAGGTCCAAGCGCCTAGAAAGATCTTTAATACAATGGTAATAATCTGGGGTCAGAGATCCAAGCGCCAACATAGAAAGATATTTAATTCAATGGTAATAATCTGGGGTCAGAGGTCCAAGCACCAACATAGAAAGATCTTCAATACAATGGTAATAATCTGGGTCAGAGGTCGAAGTGCCAACACAGAAAGATCTTCAATACAATGGTAATAATCTGGGGTCAGATATCCAAGCGCCAACATAGAAAGATCTTTAATACAATGGTAATAATCTGGGGTCAGAGATCCAAGCTCCAACATAGAAAGATCTTTAATACAATGGTAATAATCTGGGGTCAGAGATCCAAGCGCCAACACAGAAAGATCTTTAATACAATGGTAATAATCTGGGGTCAGAGGTCCAAGCGCCAACACAGAAAGATCTTTAATACAATGGTAATAATCTGGGGTCAGAGGTCCAAGCGCCAACATAGAAAGATCTTTAATACAATGGTAATAATCTGGGGTCAGAGATCCAAGCGCCAACACAGAAAGATCTTTAATACAATGGTAATAATCTGGGGTCAGAGGTCCAAGCGCCAACATAGAAAGATCTTTAATACAATGGTAATGATCTGGGGTAAGAGGTCCTAGCACCAACACAGAAAGATCTTTAATACAATGGTAATAATCTGGGGTAAGAGGTCCTAGCACCAACATAGAAAGATCTTTAATACAATGGTAATAATCTGGGGTCAGAGGTCCAAGCACCAACATAGAAAGATCTTTAATACAATGGTAATAATCTGGGGTAAGAGGTCCTAGCACCAACACAGAAAGATCTTTAATACAATGGTATAATCTGGGAGCCACTTGCTAGGCCTCCACGGGTCACCAGTTGAATAGCCTTGACCTACAACATGAATGCTTTATACTACCACTAGTATATCACATCTCTTTATTATATCAATTATCTGCCCTTCCCACGTTAGATCAAAACTGGTCTACTTCCATAGGCTGTTTCCTCCCCGGATTATTCTCCTCTCTCTTCTACTGGTCTTTTCTCTAGTTTCCCTTTACTATGGTCCAAATGACTGCCCCCCCCCCCCCCCCCAAAAAAAAACTTCCAAAAACTGCCTATATACAGTCGAGTCCACTTGAGTCGAGCTCGGATAAGTCGAATTTCAGTTAAGTCGACATGACCAGCTTAGTCCCGGTAACTTTCTCTATTGTGTGTGCTGTCTGGATAAGTAGAAATCCTGATAAGTGGAAGCATTTTCATCGATCCCTGCCACTTTTACTTATCCAGACTCGACTGTAAACCACTTTTGCGGTGTAGGCAGGGGGGTCTTTGAGCCTGAGGTTTTAGGGCCACATGGCTAGTACTGTCGCCACGACAGTGCATGTGAGCATTTTATTTTGCCCCTGACATAAAAAATTCCCTGCCTTACTGAGGATTCGAACCCGGGTCTCCTGCATGAGACTCTAGCATTCTGACCATTTGAAACCAAATATAAGCTCTAGCATGATTTTTAAGGAATCTTGTAATGTAAGCCATAAACCGAATTTAAGCCCTGGCATGATTTTTTAAGGGAATCTCGTAATGTGTAGCCATAAACCAAATATAAGCCCTGGCATGATTTTTTTAAGGAAATCGTGTAACCTAAGCCTAGAAACCAAATATAAGCCCTGGCATGATTTTTTAAGGGAATTGCGTAACCTAAGCCTAGAAACCAAATATAAACCCTGGCGTGATTTTTTAAGGGAATCACGTAACCTAAGCCTAGAAACCAAATATAAGCACCGGCATGATTTTTTAAGGGAATTGCGTAACCTAAGCCTAGAAACCAAATATAAACCCTGGCGTGATTTTTTTAAGGGAATCGTGTAACCTAAGCCTAGAAACCAAATATAAGCCCTGGCATTATTTTTTTTTAAGGGAATTGCGTAACCTAAGCCTAGAAACCAAATATAAGCCCTGGCATGATTTTTTAAGGAAAACTCGTAACCTAAGCCTAGAAACCAAATATAAGCCCTGGCATGATTTTTTTAAGGGAAACTCGTAACCTAAGCCTAGAAACCAAATATAAACCCTAGCGTGATTTTGTAATGTAAGCCATAACCCAAATATAAGCTCTAGTCCAGACATGTTAAAAGTAATGAATGCATAAATAAATACAATAATATACAATTACTCTGCGTGTGGGTTCTAGAGCCCCATTCTGGAGGGAGAAAAGAAAACAAGAAAAGATCCCGCACCCCTCTAACAAGTAAGTTGTAAAAGTCTACTTAGAACTGTTTCCTCTGAAGTCAGAGTGTATCTGTCTGAGAGGCATGGAACCAACAGTCTGCAGATAAATAAACCAGATCTGTAAAACTGATTTACATGCAAAACACAAGACCAATATTCAGAAGCAGATGAACAACAGAAATTTCCCCTGGGGTTTACAGCCAGTGAACACAAATATATATTAATATTGATATTAATACTTCAATAATTGTATATGTGCACCTGAATAAATGTACATTTTTGGTAAATGCAAAAAGACATTCCCATGGGGAAAACCTAAGACCCAGTCTTATTTTTGGGGAAACACATTATATAACATAAATTTGTACACAAAGATTCATTACACTGAGTTATTAAACGTGATACAGAAGTTTATTGCTGAATTCACTAAACAGGATATTGTCAGTTAGTAAAAAAAAAAAAAAAAACACACATCCACGCTAAAATCATCATTCATCGACTATGTCCAAATTCTTGATTTCTTGGACCCACATGTTGTATGCAGGAACCAGATTCTCAGTGAAGTAGGTCTCAAACTCTGCCCTCAAACTGGCCAGGTTAGGCTGCTGATCGCATGACGGAACATTGAGAAGCTCAGCGAAGAGTTGTTTCCACAGTGGCACATTCCATTTCCTAGTGGCAGACAGTGGAAAAGATGGTCAGTGTTTACAAACTAACAACTGTTATTCTATAGCAGGGTCAGTGTTTACAAACTAACAACTGTTATTCTATAGCAGGGTCAGTGTTTACAAACTAACAAGTGTTATTCTATAGCAGGGTCAGTGTTTCCATACTAACAAGTGTTATTCTATAGCAGGGTCAGTGTTTACAAACTAACAAGTGTTATTCTATAGCAGGGTCAGTGTTTACAAACTAACAAGTGTTATTCTATAGCAGGGTCAGTGTTTACAAACTAACAACTGTTATTCTATAGCAGGGTCAGTGTTTACAAACTTACAAGAGTTATTCTATAGCAGAAACTGTCCTGTCATGTGAATACATGCTTTCAAGGTCATGGTAACTGACTGTGTGGGTTCCAGGCTCCCATTCTGGGAGGAAAAAAGAACAGACCCACTGGCTCTCTAAGAAGCATGTCGTACAAGGCGACTAATTAGAGGAGTTTCCTTTGAAGTTAGAGTGCTTCTCTCTGAGAGGCAAGGAACCAACAGTTTGCACACAAATACGCTAGATTTGTAAAATTGATGTGCAGGCAACACTCAGGTTCTGGAACAAGATTTAAAGTCCAGAGGTGGACGAACAACCAAAACTTTTCACTGGAGTTTACAACTGGCGAATGTGAAAAAGAATAATGCAAACCTTGTTTGCGAATCTAATATTTATAAATTATAATAATTTTATCACAATGAGGAAGAGAATCCATAGCCGAGATTTGAAAATAAAAGGTTTCACTAGCCTTAGCTAATTAGGACCACTGTCCCAATAGAGCAGGGGCCATCGACCTTCCTAATGCTGCGACCCTTAAATACAGTTAACTCATGTTGTGGCGACCCCCCAAACAATTATTTTCCTTCATAACTTCAATGAATATGGGTTTTCCGATGCTCTTAGGCTGTGAAAGGGTTGCGACAAGCAGGTGGAGAACTGCTGCAAAAGAGCATGGCCCCTCGACCAACTAATAAGCTCTTTGTGCACGACATTTTGTACCTATTGTTTTCTACAGGTTGAGGCAGCCGTCCCACACCAATCTCCCTTAGTTGCCTACTACACCATGTATGCTAGGTAACATTGTTACTCACACGTCAAGACTTATTCAGCGGGGACAGAGCAGAGGATCTGTAAAACGTCAGTACACGCAAAACTCTAGTTCTGTTCATCATTTAAGGATCATCTTCATCGCACATCATACATGACAATAAGTGCTCCGATCTCCTCCTGTGTGTGTCTCTAAGTTTTTTTTTTTTTAGGTTAACAACTCTAGTTCTGGAACAAGACCAAAGTCCACAAATGGACAAACAACCAAAATTTCCGCCAGAGTTCACAGCCGGTGAAAGCGAAGAAGGTCACAACAACAAAGTGGGGGAAACCAGTTCAGCCTCTTCATTCCCACCCCCCCCCCCCCCCACCCCCCAATTAAAGCTGAAGTGAGCCCAGAACCGTCATCAAAGCACTCTGAATATTCCTAATGCTCTACTCTCTCATCTTCAGCAATCAATGAAGAGTTCCAGTTCTGATGTTATTACTAGCAGTTTGGTTATTTGCCACACTTATATGTCCTGCGAGTGTGTAGAATGTCGGCCAGATCTCTTGATCACTCCTTGTTGCACAGTTCTCTCCCCACTATAATCATCTTATCTGCACTTTCGCATTTTTCACTTGCTCTCTACATCAAGCTTGCTATTCATCAAGTCATCATTCAACGGTGCAGCCCCTGCCATCAATGGTGCAGCACCTGCCAATCTGCCTGCTATCTCATTTCCCAACACACCAACATACCCATACAAGGGTTATTCTATAACAGAAATTGTTTAATGCTTAAGTGAGAGTACTATATGTCATCTTCAAGACAACTTTTCTATCTCTCTATCTCAGAGCAGAGATTGCATTTTATGACTCCAGTGTTGGAACAATAGGACACAAGCCCAGATTCCACCGCTAGCTAGGAGCTTGAATACCATTTTTTTTAATGGTTCCTATATCAGTTAAACTGTGCGGATCATATGCTCATCCTCCCGATGTCAGTTCTTCCCAATCCCCCCTAAAAAGCAAACCATAAAAAGAAACTAACTAGGAGCTTCTAAAAATTGGATATGCTGGGCAAAAAAGTATAGGCATCATACAGTCATAAACCACAGTTTGCTAACCACCTTGTTAAGGAAAAATACAGAAACAAAAGAATATGAGACTTCACAGTTGTATAGTTTCAGTACCAATCTTGCTCATACGACTGGTTCCTGAACTGTGCATGTGTGGAGTGGCACATCAGAACTCTGGCAGGAAACCACTTGGATGTTGGGTAACCTGCAGGTATAATCAAGCCAGAGCGGCATGAGTGACCTACCTCATAAAGTTTCCAGTGACACGCCACACTCCTCGTTCCTCAAACACATTCATATAGGAACCAAACAAGACCACATGGACTGTACCAACCAGGCCAAAGAGATCAGTCTGCAGAAGAGTGAGAAAACACAAATTGAAGCTGGCAGATACAGCAACAGACACTGCAACATGCTTTATATTAACATTATGCTGACATCAATAGAATTGGTAAATGTATGATGATGATGACAATAAGAAGCAAGAGGATGGAATACAAAAGTATTTTCTTATCTGCATTTACCGGCTGCAAAATTTTATGGAAAATCCAGGTTGCTTGTCCACTTCTGGACTTTGGTCTTGTATCGGAACTTGTGTGTTGTGTGCACATCCCCTTGTGGGATGTTGAGATGAGATGTGGTCCCGTTGAGAGCTGGCTTATTTCTCTGTGAGCAGAGAATCGCCAAACAAGAAATAAAATAAAAAGTCTGAGGAACTGAGGACGACCAAAAGAAACCTTTAAAATGAACACAGACGAGAAAAGGTAAAAGTGTTGGACTTGATTCATGATATGCAAATAATTGCATAGAATAGATTGGCATGGGGAGGCAGACTAAGCGCCATATGTGACATTTCTTGGAACAACAGGACAATGATGAGAACAACAGGACAATGATGAGAACAACAGGACAATGATGAGAACAACAGGAAAATGATGGGAACAACAGGACAATGTTGGGAACAACAGGACAATGATGGGAACAACAGGACAATGATGAGAACAGGACAATGATGAGAACAACAGGACAATGATGAGAACAACAGGACAATGATGAGAACAACAGGACAATGATGAGAACAACAGGACAATGATGAGAACAACAGGACAATGATGAGAATGATCATTAAACCTTGGTGGAAAGTCCAGACTTCTCATTCACTTTTGGACTTTCGTCTAGCTAAAAAAAAAAACTTTTGGGGGACTGCTCATCTCTTAGGCACTCTGACTGAGAAAGAAACATGGATTGTCTCTGGTTAGCCCGGCTGAGAACCTGTTTCTAGGACGATCACGGAGAGGTGTGGGCAGGTCTTGACCAGTAGGAACCCTGGTCTTGCAGCACTGCCACCACAGCACATCTGCATCCCAAAATTCTTCTTCTTCTTTGTTCCCCAGTTGAAAGATACGGCAGAAAGTCCTGGTTGTTTGTCCATTCAGCCTTTGGCTTTGTGCCAGGACCTGAGTTTTGCATGTGCATCTGTTTTACTGGCTGATTGGTGTGCAGCTGGTTGTTCCTGGCAGCACAGGCAGATGTACTCAGATTTCAAATGAAGCCATCTAAAAGTTTATTCCTACAACACGCTTGTCGAGGAGGCAGTGGGTCTGTTCTTGTTTCTGCCACAGTGGGGCCCCAGAACCCACACTGGGAGTATAATAAGATGATGTTAATGAGAAGAGAGAGAAGGAAGATGACCAATTACCAGAAGGAACATAAAGATATGATGATGATAATGATGTGCTGGAAAAGGTATGATGATGATACTGATTTGCAGGAAACGGTATGATGATGATAATGATGTGCAGGAAAAGGTATGATGATGATAATGATGTGCAGGAAAAGGTATTTGCATTTATATTTATAAATTACATTCATTTCTCCCAATGTGGGTTCTGGGGCCCTCTTTGGGGGCCTCCAATTGCAAAGAGGAATCAATTGGGGATGTTTTCTTCAAAGTCGGCATGCCTCTGCCTGAGAGGCGAGGAACTAACCATGCAAAAATGAAAATCATCCCCCCCCCCCTCCCCCCCCCCCCCCCAAAGCAAAAGCCAGTGAATAATAATAATAATAATAAATTCTTCAGTGAGTAGAAGATATGTCTGCAGTTAACTTGGGACCAATGTTTTCTGTTTATGTTTATTCGACGGATCAACATCATTGCATAAGGGTAGTAACCCATAATTGCTCCATTCTACTTAACTCAAGCCTCCTGAGTCTGAAGAATCTAAGCGCAGTGCATGAACTCTGTTGCACCACCGAGGATCCTGAAATACTTTGGGTCGATCTTAAACTCCACATTTTGCCCAGGTAGCGCTGATAGGCTATTCTTTTTGGATTTTCAGTTGTCAAGGTATTTCTTTACATCACAACAATACACATGGGTGTCTGATTTCATTACCCAGAGACCAGGAGAAATTACTAGAAGTCCACACACAAAAATCCCAGCCTTTACCAGGGTTTGAACCCAGGACCTCCAGCACTCGAGGTGGATGCCATACCTCGAGACCACTGGGGACCAATGTACAGTTGTAAACTCATTGTGTGACAATGCTGTGTATGTAACCCACACCTACGAAGACTGATTCAACTCACCTGAAAAGTCCACGGCCTGTTAGTCCTCATTTCGATACACTGAAAGCCAGATGTGGCTACTTTGGCCAGGAATGTGGTTCCCTGGGGAAACTGGGTCAAGTCAATACTTTGCCCAAAGTCGATCAGCTGCACCAGTCGCACATGTGAACCGAAAACATCTTGGGGTTTTCTGCATCCTGGCTTGATTTTTGGCCTGTAGTTGGTAACAAGGATGAGAAAAGAAAGGGCATTTTAGAACAGCTTACCTAAACTCACCCCAAGAACCTGATGGCGAACTAGGCTCTAACTTTAGTGGTTTTCAGCTGATGGCTTTCAGAACAAAGATTAGGGTCATGTGATTTATTTTTAGACAAATGAAAAACCTTAACCCGCCCCCTTTTTTGTGTGCATTTCTAATACAGATTTTGCGTGTTTGTGTGATTCTAATATAAAATTCTTCTTCTTCTTGTCGTGGTGGTGGTGGGGGAATGTTGGTTTGAGATGCGATTCTATTGTAGATTTCTTCTACTTTATATATATATATATATATATATATATATATATATATATATATATATATATATATATATATATATATATATATATATATATATATATATATATATAATATATATATATATATATATATATATATATATATATATATATATATATATATATATATATATATATATATATATATATATATATATATATATATATATATATATATATATATATAGACCTTTGAAAATAAGATGGGTCAGCGGGTCTTATCTGAGAACCACATTTCTTGCCTATTAAATGGTTCGCCATCCTTCAATGCGCTGGTATAAATTCTCAGAAGGGTGTGGCTTTTGGGAAAACAGTTAACATAGTAAATTCACCTGAATATTATCTTTATCTGCTTTTTCCCCATGAACTAAAAGCAATATTATGTTCACAACATGTACATTTCCAGGAAGAAACTGTACAAGATTAATATTTTAAGGAAAGATTTACATTCGAAGCAGAGGTTGTAATTACATTTCAAGAAAAGAGATTCAGCTTAGATTTCAAGCAGAGGTACAACTTACATTTCAACGAAAGAAATAAAATTTACACTTCAAGAAAAGAAATACAACTTACACTTATGAAATTGTAATTACACTACAAGGAAAGAAATATAACTTACACTTCAAGGAAAGAAATACAACTTACACTTCAGGGAAAGAAATACAACTTACACTTCAGGGAAAGAAATACAACTTACACTTCAGGGAAAGAGATACAACTTACACTTCAATGAAAGAAATACAACTTACACTTCAGGGAAAGAAATACAACTTACACTTCAATGAAAGAAATACAACTTACACTTCAATGAAAGAAATACAACTGACACTTCAATTATAGAAATACAACTCACACTTGAATGAAAGAAATACAACTTACACTTCAATGAAAGAAATACAACTTACACCTCAGGGAAAGAAATACAACTTACACTCCAAGGAAAGAAATACAACTTACACTTCAAGGAAAGAAATACAACTTACACTTCAATGAAAGAAACAACTTACATTTCAGGAAAAGAAATAGTAATTACATTTAAAGGAAAGAAAGACAACTTACATTTGCAGCAGTAAGAAGTTGTCTGGCTTCACGTCACCATGAATGAACCCACAGGCGTGGATCTGTTCAAACATGTGCAGCAGTTCAATGGTTAGCAGACAAGCAAACGGCTCCACTCCCGCCAACAGACTTTTGTCATTCTTGTATTTGTTCACCAAGTTCTGTGGACATATGGTGCTCTACGTAAATACAGCATCCATTTCTTTATTCTGATCTCCCACTTTCTCTTACACATACACATATCCAAAATTCTCTCCTTGATTTTCATTTTCATTACTTCTTCTTCGCGTTCACCAGCTGTAAACTCTGGCAGAAGGTTCTGGTTGCTCGTCCACTAATGAACTGCAGTCCTGCTCCAGAACCTGAGTATTGCGTGTGCATCAGTTTTACAGATCTCATTCTCTTGAATACAGACTGTTGGTTCCTTGCCTCTCCGGCAGATGCACTCCGACTTCAAAGGAAGCTCCCCAATTAGTCGACTCTTACGACATGCTTATGGGGAGGCAGTGGGTCTATTCTTGTTTTCCCAACAATGGGGCCCCGGAACCCACACGGGGGTCATTTTCACTCATATCAACTCTCTTTTCAGTCTCATTTTCACTCTCAAGTACTCCCTCTCTTTCAGTCTCATTTTTACCCTCTCAGATACTCTCTCTGTCATTCTCATTTTCCCATTCACACACTCCCTCTATCAGTCTCAGTCCATTCTCCCATCAACTATCTTTCTTTCCCTTTCTATCTCCCCCTCATGCACATTCTCACTTACTTAACCTTTGATTGCATTGTTACTAATTTGATAAGTGTTACTAAGCATGTTACTATGTTTTTTGTTGTTGTTTTTTTTTTTTTTTTTATAATGCTTACCAAAGTAAAACCATACATAAACAGATGGAGGGCAAGGGGAAACCATCGATGTATTGGTCCCTTGAGAAGTATGCCTGTACACAAATCAAATTCAGTTAATCTTCTTCTTCTTCTTCACGTTCATCAGCAGTAAATCCTGGTAGAAAGTTCTAGTTGTTGGCCAACTTTAGTCTTGTTCCAGAACTTGAGGTTTTCATGCACATCCATTTTACAGATCTGGTTTGCTTGTAGGCAGACTGTTGGTTCCTCAACTCTCGAGCATACGCACTCTGACATCGGGCGATGTACCCCTAATTAGTAGACTGTTAACAACATGCTTGTTAGAGTGGCCGTGAGACTAGTCTTTTTTGCCACCACAGTGAGACCCCGGACCCACACAGGGACAATCCAGCTAACGAATTCAAAGGGGGGTGGGGTTTCCAATGAAATCACTGCTGGGAATCCCAAGCTGTACAAAGACAAGATCCCCCTCGGCATACAGCAAGACACTTGATGATGTTCAATACTGGCTATCGTCTAATAGTTAATGCTGTGGGGTGTGAGTTGTCATTTCTGTCCACATCCTTCTGACCCAGGCCATCTTCCATGCCATGATGTTTAACTGTCCAGCATCTTTTCTCTGTCTCCCTCTTTTCTCCAGGCCATGCCGCCGTTCTGGGTAATGAACAGGAAGGCAGACTGGCTGGATCTGCACCACTGGGTGGTGAACTGATCCATGAATAGGCAGATGCGGCCCTTTGGAAACAAAATTATTATGGCCTGGAGAGAATTGGTGTAACCAGAGGGTCTGGCCGGCTCACTACACTCAGAGGAAAGGTGAAATGGACATATAACCAGACTGTGACCGCTACCATCAGTATTGGAACTCTGCACTGGCTGCTGAAGATAAGAACGGAGCATGCATGGAAATGTCCTGAGTGCTGTGATGTCAAAACTTGGTCTCCCACTGCCTCTTTTCTCCTCTAAATTTCCCACTGTCACAATGTGCTCCAGTTTTCTCTTTCTCATGACAAGACCAAAGAATGTAGATTGTCTCCTTCTGCTGTGGGCAATCATTTCTCTTCATCTGTTAATTTCTGTCAAGACATCTTCAATCCTCCTTTTATCTGTGCAGGGTATTCTCATCATTCGTCTATTAAAACCACACATCTCGGATGCTTCCAAATAATTTTTTACTAATCATCCAACTGTCTTATGATTCGCTTCCAGATATCAGGATAATATATTAGCTATAGTATTGTAAAAACATGTGATTCAGACTCAAAACTAACAAAAGATATGAATTAACATTAGTAATGTTGACTAAACATATTGGGCAGACACCTACCAGCAAGGACCCATATGGAGCATAAGCCATTTGTAACACACTTCCATCTTCGAAAAAATAACCTTTCTCAATTTCCATGACAGAGGGTACCTGAATAATAAAGAAGAGAAATGTAACTGTAAATTTTTTTTTTTTTTTAGTATCCAGAAGCCATGATTTGTTAACCCGAAGGCTCGGTATTATGGATATTGCAACCCTTCAGCCTTGATTACATAATAGATACCGCAAATCTGGGGAAAATGTGACTTTTCTGCCTACCCCTGGGCGCGAACCCGGACCACAAGGAGTTTGTCACCCGGTCACCACAAAGTCAGGTTTAGCCAACTACGCTAGCGAGCCAGGTAACTGTCAATTCAACTCCTACATTCAAAGATAGTTTTGCCGTCTTCACAATGTTACTTTTTATTTTGTCCCCAGAGTGAAATCTGCTTGATCTGTTACTGATGCCTTCAGTATGCAGTTACAAGTTAGATAAGTATCCGTTACAGGACGCTGCAGAACCAACCCCAAAATATTTTTGGGGCTGTTAGGGTTTCTCTAGGCAAATTTTAGGTACAGTAGTTTGCCACTGCTTTCTGAGCGGTCGACTCTCGGTACCACTATCGAAACCAGCGCAAGACTGTCTGCTGCCAAATCGCCTGCAGTTGGGATAGAACCCCGCACCCCCGGCATTATGAAATGCATTCACAGACACTGAGTGTATACCTGATAAGGAAAACACATCTGTGACTCAAGAAATTCTTCTTATCAGAAATTTCTCTTATCCAGATAAAAGCTCAACAAGAAAAATTGCCAGAGATAAACAAATTGTTCTTCATAGCAGAAATTCATCACATCTGAGATCATCTATAGCGGGTCAAATGCCCTGCATTTGTCTTTCCATAACTAACTTGTCTGTCTGTGGCCGATTCACTTTCTAAGCCATCTGTTTCTCTCTGCATGCTACTGGTGTTTTCTTTTTCTTCTTCTGCATTTGCTCAAAAAAGGCAGTTGGCACACTGTGTTGTTGTTTACAGCTATGATGCGATATCAAAATTTTTTTATTTAACATACTGAAGTCCCTTTTATGGTATGCTTGTTAAAGAACAGATGGTTTCCCCCCCCCCCCCTTTCCTAGTATGGGTCTTAGGCCCAGGCGACATACAGGGAACTGGTGTTTTTACTAAGCAGAACTGTTAGTTCACTATGATGGATAAGCATGCAGTGCACTACCATCTTAAAGCGTCTTATGTATTTTACTCTTTGGTCCTATACAAATTTTTTTTAAGTATCCTTTTGTCACAATCTGGTTAAATGTAGCGCATCCTTAAATTCTTTAAAAAGCATACTGTGATAAACTAGAGGAAAAGATGCAATACAAATGTGGAGGGTTGATCAGTTTATAGGCGGCTGAAACCTGTGACCACTGATCAGACAGGAAAGCATGACAGCTGCAGTCTTCTATCATGTTTGTCAAGGCTGCATGACCGGATTACTTTGGTTTGGTCAAAAACCCGACAAGGAAACATCCCTAGTCGCCTTCTATGACATGCTTGTTAGGGGAGCAGCGTTGATTCCCCCCCCCCCCCCCCAAACCAAGACCCAGCACCCACACAAAGAAGTCTGTGGCACAATATGGTGCGATTAATTTTAGGACAAAGACAAGACAATCACTCACAACGTTCATCTGTGCCCTAAGAGTGGCCAGCCGTCTCCTCAGTTCTGTGCTGACATAGAACTCCCAGTAGCAGGCAGGTGATTGAATCTGCACAGAATATTTAAATGAAAACAATATAAATTATGTTATCACAGTCGACGTCACTGCACACTGGGCATTCCTATGTGAGCTCAGTTCACCAATACAGCAGCTACTCCAGGGTACTTCTATTAAATGTTGGTCTTAATGTCTCCTATCTCAGGCTTAAAGGTGGCATAGACGTGCTTCACCGTGCTTTACTCCCATGTCATACAATCACAAATGCATATAAATTACACATAGGAGCTTCAAATGAAAACCTTTCAAAGTGTGATTGAAAATACTATAACCCTGTTTGATTGGAATAGGAAGTTTCAAAATGGACTTCTGTGTATCTGACATGGCCATGAACAGCTTTTCAAAGAAGACACACCGTTTTGAAACTTCCTACTTCACACATACATTTGCTGGAGGGGGCTGCATGGTCTCGGGCAGGGTGTCCACCTCGAGTGCTAGAGGTTCCTGGTTCAATTCCCGGTAAAAGCTGGGATTTTTTCACGTGAACCTGGACTTCTAGTAATCACCCCCCCCCCCCCTTCCGTCTCTGGGTAGTGAGATCGGACGCCATTGTGCATTGTTGCGCAGGTAAAAAAAATCCATTGGCAGTTGGAAATCAAAAAGAGTAGCCTAACTGCGCTGCCCAGGCACAAATTTGAGTTAAAAATCTACCCAAAGTATTTCAGGATCCCCGCCGGTGCGCTGTGCTGAGCTTTTTCGGGCTCAGACTTGAGTTAGAAGAAAGAATGGAGCACTTATGGGTTGCTACCCATGTGCCATGATGTTGATCCCTTGTTCAAAACCTCAAACCCCATACATTCAATGGAATGTCAGGCATACATCATCACACTAGACAGACATTCATTCAGTGATGAACTTCTATAGGTTTCACCTCTTCACTGATTAAACAAACAAAAATGGAAAACAGAATGCTGCTTCTCTTTGGTGCACCTCAAAAGTAGGGCAGCCAGCTTTAAAATGTCTTTTTTTTTTTTTTTTTTTTCAACGCATCAATGCATTGATGTCATATGTTTAAAAGTCTTGACATCCTTAACAACAATACTGACAGGATACAAGACAATGTCATCGTTATCCTAATTTCCATCACACTTGAAAGGTTTTCACTGGAGTAACCTCGAAGAATTCTACATCTTACCAACATATATTTCTTATCAAAATTAGGCATGCCTTTATCTTACCAGCATATATATTTCACCAATAAACATAATAATAATACATAGATTTGTTTTTAAAACTACATATATTTTGCATGATTTAAAATAATAATTACACAGGACTATATCTTAGCCACATATCCTTTCCGTTAATAAATATGGTATTTAAAAATGTCTACATTTTAGTTAAATTTTAGTTTTCATTAACCGAAAACGTCTGTCGAAGCATTTAAAAATTATTATCAAAACAAGTGGGTGGGACAGGCAAAAGCTCAGGCTAATGATGTGAATTTAGACCGGGGGGAGGGGTATTTTGTGCAGTCTCCATAGAGAACGTTGGCTACAGTGTATCACTGTAATCTTTAGGAATTATTACGTGGGGAAAGCTCAGTTTCTTTCAGGGTGCGACCATCAGTGCTACATGAACTATCATGTGCTGGACAGATTTTCTCCTTGTGATACATGGATGGAGATTGCAACACTATGGAGACGGCCACGTACAAGTGAAATGGTTCAAGATGTAAAAACAGCAGTGGTAGCAGGAGATGATGAGGAGGAAGAAGAGATTCAGTAAACTCTATTTTTAAAGGATTGAGAATTGGGCATGCGGGCTAGACGAAGAAGTGGAGCAGGAGAAGGAGAGGAAGAAGAGCAGGAGGAGAGGAGGGAAAAAGAAAGAAAGAAAGAAAGAGAGAAAGAAAGAAAGAAAGAAAGAAAGAGAGAGAGAGAGAGAGAGAGAGAGAGAGAGAGAGAGAGAGAGAGAGAGAAAGAAAGAAAGAAAGAAAGAAAGAAAGAAAGAAAGAAAGAAAGAAAGAAAGAAAGAAAAAAAAGAAAGAAAAAAAAGAAAGAAAAAAATTAAGAAAGAAAGAAAGAAAGAAAGAAAGAAAGAAAGAAAGAAAGAAAGATAGAAAGAAAGAAAGAAAGAAAGAAAGAAAGAAAGAAAGAAAGAAGAAGAAAAAGAAGAAGACAAAAAGAAGAAGGTAGCAGCAACTCTCATACAAACCGATACCAACCTTGATGACTTTGCTAGGCATAGTCCTGCTGTCCATAGTGAGAGTGTCCTCTCCCAACAGGGAATCCACCGTGACCTTGTAGATCTTAGCATTGCCCCCTTCTCCAATACACTTCTCATGGTTTATGCACGCATTACCTGGCCAGGGTCATAAACAATTTATGTAAAGGTCATTAGGTCATTGCAGTTCCAACATCATAACTAGCATATCAGCCACCTTTCTTCTTCTTTGTGTTCACCGGCTGTAAACTTTAGGTAAAAGTTCTGGTTGTTCGTCCACTTCTGTTCTAGAACGTGAGTTTTGCGTGCACATCTATTTAACAGATCTGGTTTAGTTGTGTGCAGACTGTTGATCCCCTCCGATTCTCGGGCAGATGCACTTCAACTTTAAAGAAAACATCCCTAATTAGTGGACTCTTATACATGCTTGTTAGGAAGAAAGAGGATCTATTATCTTTTTTTTTCTCCCCCCTCCCCACAATAGAGCCATAGAACCCAGAGGAAAAACGGGTCACCCAACAGTTGCTCCATTCCTGTGCCACCAAAAACCACACAGAATGTCCACCACTGTCCCTCTGCAGAACCAATAGCATATACATGCATTAAATGCATAAGGCAGCCATCAGAAGTGGCAAAACAGTCCAGCACTAGAAATGCAGTTCATCGTTAATATAAGCAACAGTCACAATAGATCAGTAGCAGCACATGCAATTATTCGCATAAGGCACTACCAGTTCTCTGGCAACAGCCTACTAGCTATTTTCTGAATCTGCAGTTGACAACACAAAGCACATTCCAAAAGAAATCAGCAGCTCACAGTGTTGCACCATGCACTCAGCTCAGTAGCAGGGTGGTGGAACTATATCCTTTCAGTCTAAATATGGAGAAAAATGCAAAAACTAACTATTGTCAGAGGCAAAAACTCTGTCACGAAAAAACGAATCCTACCTATCCACCATACTGACAAGTCAAAAAAGGTCATTTATTCATTTACTTCAATGTCCTGTTGTGCAATCTATGGCATATAGGACTCATGATCTATTTCTCCATTCCGTTCTATCTTGTTTCCATTGGACGTCTCCTTTTTCTCTCTCCCTCTCTCTCTCAGACCATTTTGTTTCCCATTTCAGTGCCTGTTTTGTAATCCTTTGCTCATTTTCATATGGATGGAATCCTGTCCCACTACCTTCGGCTTCTCTGGACCAAACAAGTGGCATGTTGGTTATAAAAAACACATTAAAACATGTGTCTACATGTATGTTACTTACAACAGATATGTTACTAAAACATATATGTCTATGGACATTTTACTTATAGCAGTTTCATTGCTTACCAAAGCACATTACATTCTCTTGTACGATGTCCGGCATCTGACCCGAGCAGGCCACAAAGTTAGGGTAGTCTGTGATTGGAGGTTTCAAACTGCGCAGGATGTGGGCTGGTAAAAGAGTACATGAAACAATATACTAGACAATTTAAAAACATAGGTATCTGTACAAAACCATATACTGAAGACAGAAATTAGACCCAAATGGTATTTTCTTGTCTTCACATATGCTATGCAGATAAAACCCTTAGCTAGCAGCTGGTCTAGGAGGCAAGCTTCAACAGGTAGCCAGACAGTGCACTGCTCTTCTGATCTGGCAGCTTCTGCAGTGTGCCTTGCTCCAAACTTACTGATGTTACCTTTCCTTTAAAGTAAACAAGGCAAGCCTTCCCTTAATGAGAAGAAATAGCTCTTAACAACTGGCAAGACTGAAGGAAAACAAGCTAAGGGAAGGCAAAAAAATAAATATTTAGATGATTCACTCACATGGATGGGATGAGACCAGAACACTGACCTGATCCATGATTCTGGTGATTGTGTGAGATGGCAAAACATGACTGCCTACGCTTATCGACAGGGCTCACGATTATCAGCATCATCATCATCTGTGTGCCATTAGAGATCACATAGGGCTCGCAATCGATTCCTCCACTCCACTCTTCCCGGGGAAGGGAAGGGAAGAGGGGCAAGAATCAGTGAAGAGATCAAATGTCATCCCACAATACAAAAGAAAAGATACCGTCTTGCTAGCTCAGGCCCAATGACTCAATGCGAATGCTCAGGAAGATAGAGATGGACTGGGTCCAAAGACAGTGGTTGGAGTGTGGCGCGGTGATTTATGTGACAACACGGGAGAAATATTTCAGTCCGGCAAGAGTTAATTGCAAGTTTTAGTTAAAAGAATTGCGCACGTAAAATAAATATATTTAAACATAGACGCTAAAAGAATAAAAAGGTACGAAGGCGCACATAATTTATGACGTTTTGTGGTGTTACTAGGAGATCTAATTCCGTCACAACACAGAACGATTGCTAGCCATACCATCGGCCTAACACCCACAATAATAATCCCATATACGATGTCAGGTGAGATTTATTATGGTAGGGAGTAGCTGAGATCCCCTATAAGCCTTAGCTGTATCCTAAAATATGTTATTGAGATCCTACTATTCTATATTCTACCATTGTATAAATAGTCCGTGACTTCATCAACCTTGATACTTGTCCGTTGGACAATTCACTAGTCCTTACCTATTATGACGTTCTTAAAGTTACTATTCCCCGTTAGGACTATTCAATAGCGAACCCTTCTTCCCTCTGTCACTCTTATATTCATTCGGTCTACTTGCGTAAAGATCTTATAGTAGAAACCATTATCCTGTGCCATGTGGTATCATCAGTTGGGTATACATTACATTGTTTATGTCATTATATTATGCAACACATGATTTGAGTAAAAGTCGTCAGCTTTGTGGGCATATCGGGTTGGCCTATGTTTTATAGACCAAGTGGTACCTAGGTGTTGATGTGGTCAACATCACACCTGCCGCCTTTACATCCCATTACTATACCTGGTGTCCGTTAAGGCGAAGTCGACCTGGGGTTTGGGACTCGAACTAATAACTGTCCAATCCGCAGGCGAATGTGTGTCCGCTTAATTATGTCAAGTTTTATATGATCGTGCCATAATTTAGATAGGTATAAACCAACATATTATAATAGGGTGGAGATGTATAATTTTGATTTACTTGTAGGGAAAGACAACATATGAACCTTGTTCTTTCTTGCTTACTACTCTGAAAAACACCACAGACACCGCAACACCTCCACCTGCTCCAGATGTGTCGACATAATGCTCAACACAGGGCTAAATGATGTATTCCGCAGGTTCCCCGTATTACCGTACCATCCTGCGTTGCCTTGCCTGTTTACCAGAGGACCATAATCCTGTGTTACCGTAGTCCTGCTTGCCCGTTTACCAGAGGACCATAATCCTGTGTTACCGTAGTCCTGCCTGCCTGTTTACCAGAGGACCATATTCCCGTGTTACCGTAGTCCTGCCTGCCTGTTTACCAGAGGACCGTAATTCCGGATTCCGGTTGGCCTGTTTGCCTAGTTGCTTGAGGAACGTGAACCGTATTCCTGATTGCCGGTTTATCAGTGGACATTCCTCCAAAGGAAACTACATTTCCGCTCATCAATACTATCGGAAAGCTGAGTGAAATTTTATGTTTGTTCTGAGTTTTGTGGTGTACATGATGACACCGTGATTTATTTTCTCTGTGTTAATTTGAAAATTGTTGAATTCAATATCAGTAGTTTATCAATACAGTTGTTATTTAGAAACTCCATTTATCGATTTCATCCTATCAATTTTAACTTCTTAGGTAAACTAAAGATTGTTCATTGCAATTTATTTGAGTTAAATTTACAAAGTTTTGACTTTGGTTGTTTTTCTGAATTTCTTTAGGAAATTTCCGGGGATTCACCCTATTCTTTAACTTTCTGTATTCTCCTTCCTCTATTTTCCAGAACTAAGGGACCGTTATAATTCCCCTAGACTTATTTAATTCGAGCCCCTGTAAGTTAATTTGGAAGGATATAGGGGAATCTCCAGGCGACGATAGATTCCGCCAAAAATAGTTATTACAATTGGGGTCTCTTACGCGGGATTTTTTAGAAGTTAGGTCATTAAAAGTAGTCATTAATAGGTAATTGGTAGGAATTTAAAGGTAAATAATATTAGGCAAAAATTAACTTTAGGGAAAATAATATAATAACTTTACACTTGTGTTAATTTGATTGGTGTTTGCGTGTGTTCTTTTGAAGTATATTCTGCAGATAAAATGGCAACAAGACCCTCACTTATGGAGATGGCGGAGCTGGGGAAAACTCTCGGTTATGCTGGAGAAGAATTAAAGGCATATCTTCAGGCGATACAACGAGAATGGCGACAGGAGGACCGTGAAAGGCGTCAAGAGGAGAAAGAGCGAGAGGAGAACAAGAGGAGAGAAAAGAGCTGAACGTTTGCAACAAGAGGAGAGAGAAAGAGCTGAACGAGAAAGAGAAAAAGACAAGAACGCATTAGACTAGCTGAGATAGCTGCTGAGAAAGAACGAGAGATGAGAGCTCATGAATTCCGTCTCAGAGAGCTTGACTTACAATCTCAGTCTACCTCTAGTACCGCAGTTAATGCGCAACCTTCTGCCTCTGAGGCACATTCTTTTGGCCATCCTCATCTTCTTGGTCCGATGTCTTTCCCTTTTCCTCAGTTTAATGAACGCGAGGATAGAATGGATGTGTTTTTGGAAAAATTCGAAAACGTTGCTAGGTCTTATTTGTTGGATAAAGAGAAGTGGTGTCTGAAACTTTCACTGTCTTTAAGAGGTCCTTCTTATGAATGTTATTCGAGATTGCCTCCTGGTCAAGAGACCAACTTCGAGTTCTTGAAAAATTCTTTGCTGAAGAGATATGAGTTGACGGCCTCTGCATATCGTAACAAATTTCGTAATGCTAAAAGAGAGCCGGGAGAAACCATTTCTCAATTCTTTTCAAGAATTAAATCTTATCTGCTGAAATGGCAGAGCTTAGCATCATTTACCCAGACCTATGAAGATCTAGAGGAAATGATATTGGCTGAACAGCTAAAAGAGTCCATGTCAAAACCTCTCCAAACCTTTCTGACTGAGAATGGTGCGGAAAGAATTGCGGACATATTAAAGCTGGCTGAGAGATTTGATTTGGCACACCCTGAACAGGTGGGCGCCAGGGCAAAGATGCACCTTTCAAAATCCCCTCCCAAATTTACCGAAAAGCCAACAGAACGTAACACACATAGGGAACCTGAATTTCGTAATGGTAGGTCCAACACACCAAACACTAACAACACCAATCATAGGTACCATCCACAAGATAATCGAAGGGGTGACGGTCGTGGTCAGCAATCGTCAGAGTGGAGGGGCCGGCTTTACTGTAAGTATTGTCGTCTGAATACACATAATACAGCAGACTGCCGAAAGAAACCCCCTCAACTCTGCGCCGCCTGTTTAACAAATGGTAAACAGGAAAATACCAGGATGAACTCTCATGATGGGGTGAGACCTCTTGTTGTAGATACCATTCTTTTGAACGGCAAAGAAGTGACTTGCTTGTTTGACACGGGTCTATTATTCGATGCCTTGGTTTCTACCGAACTCGTTGACCCAACGCAGTACACTGGGGAATTTATTGAGATGCAGACTGCGGCACAGGAGTCTGAGACATTAAGATTACCTCTTGCCAAGGTAAACATTGACTGCAAATATGTAAAAGGAACTATTGTCGCGGGTTGTCTCCCTAACCCAATATTTCCCGTTTTACTAGGATGCAAATATTTGTATCTTGCAGTTCCAAAGACGCCTATGCTAGTTGGGGCCATGGATACCCGGTCATCAACCAAAGCATCAGCAGTATCTGATCCAGAACCCCAGAATCCTTTACCAAAGGACATAAGTGCTGCGCAACAACAGGACTCATCATTAAAGTCCTGCTTCCGGAAGTTGCCTTATGCCCATCAACCTCCTGAAAGAGGAGACTTCTATATGAAGAAAAATTTATTGTACCGGAGAGCAGGGATAGCAGAACGAGAGTATGGCCAACTCGTTGTTCCCTTGCCCTACCGGAAAAACTATCCTCCATATGGGACACACACTAGCATATAGTGGCCATATGGGGATAGCGGCAACTTCCCAAAGAATTTCCTGTCATTATTATTGGCCAGGAATGTCGGGGGACATTAAGAGATATGTACGCTCGTGTCCAGAGTGTCAAAGATTTTCACCGAGACACTCAAACCCGCCGGTAACTCTGGGAAACATGCCCATTATGCATGAACCTTTCCAGAGAGTAGCGGTCGACATCATTGGACCTCTGCCTCGGACGAGGAAGAGGAATGCATATATCCTAACATTAGTGGATACCTGCACAATGTGGTCAGAGGCTCTACCGTTACCCAGTATAGATTCAAAACAAGTGGCTAATGCCCTTGTGGCTATTTTTACACGTTTAGGGTTTCCTCACCAAATCCTGACGGACAACGGCTCCCAATTTCGGGGAAAAGTAATGGAAGAAGT